GGCCCCTAATGTTATGTTTTTATAGTTGTAAATCGGTTGATTTGTGGGAGAGAGTGATGTTGGCGACCATCCATTCCGCCATCTTGACCGGAAGTCCACATTCCTTTGTCATATGTATTTTCTTAGGCACGTGTTCATGGAGGCCGCGGCTGCCGCCGGCTTTGGGCCTGTGTGCCTTCCCCAGAGAGTCTTAAAGATTCTGAGGCTGAGAAGTCCAAAGTCCATTTGGTGGTGGTGACAGTGACCCAGGGGTCTCACAAGTTTGTGAGGTTGGGAAGTCCAAAGTCCAGGGTACACATTTGGTGAAGGCCTTGGTAGCAGCAGTGACCCAGGTGTCTCACATAGCAGAAAATGGTGGAGCAGGTGTTGGGAATTTTTAACACATCAAAAATTACTTACTACTAATTTGATCATCTACACCATACTCATTTCATGGGATACCCAATACATTGGGGTTTAAATACACCCTCTGGGCATGTGTGTGATTCTCTTTGTCTCACTTGTTTTGTTCACCTCCTTTCTTAACACTTTCTATTGATTATTTATTTACATGTTAATTCTTTCTTCTTCAAATTTGTAAGGTGTATGCTCTGATTCTGTTTATTAGTTTTCAAGCTAAAAGTTACAATACACTTATTTCACATATTACACATAATTACAGAGTAATTCATGTCTTTGCTCTCTTCCTGGAAAAATAAAAAACTTAAACATTAATTGATTTGCCTATCTTGGCTTATGTGCTATTGAGGATATGCAATGGTAATTCCATCAGTCTGTCTCCAGAAGGAAATACTGTTTTATACAGATAATGTGCAGTTGTGTTAATCCATAGATGCACCCTTCTCTCAGATCCTCATTCCTTCTATCATTGCAGACCATTCACCTGGGATCACTTTCCTTCAGCCTTAAATAGAATCTTTAAAGTGTCATTTTGTTCCAGTTGGTTTTTTCCACTTAATTTCTCGTTTTTGGCTCTCTACTCCTCCCTGTTACACAGAAAGCTACATCCTCTCATACAATGCCAGCTGTGTCCCTGAGACATGATGGTGAAGGTCAAATGGCTTTGGCCTTTTTGGGCACCTGGTCACCATGGCTGCTTTTTAATTCCAGCAAAGTGGATATTGTCACCATCAATGACACCTTTACTGACCTCAGCTACATGGTTTATGTGTTCCAGTATGATTCCACCCATGGCAAGTTCCATGGCACAGTCAAGGCAGAGAATGGGAAGCTTGTCATCAATGGGAAGGCCATAACCATCTTCCAGGAGTGAGATCCTGCCAACAACAACTGGAGTGATGGTTGCTGAATATATTGTGGAGTCCACTGGTGTCTTCACTACCTTAGAGAAGGCTGGGGCTCACTTGAAGGGCAGAGCCAAAAGGGGCATCATCTCTGCTCCTTCTGCTGATGCCCCATGTTCATGATGGGTGTGAACCATGCAACCTACAAACCCCCCACACAGTCATCAGCAATGCCTCCTGCACCACCAAAAGCTTAGCCCCCTTGGCCAAGGTTATCCATGACAACTTTGGCATCATGGAAGGACTCATTACCACAGTCCACAGTCACTGCCACCCAGAAGATCACAAATGGCCCCTCTGGGAAACTGTGGTGTGATGGCCGTGGGGCTTTCCAGAACATCATCTCTGAATCTATTGGTGTTGCCAAGGCTGTAGGCAAGGTCATCTGTCAGATTGGATGGGAAGCTCCCTGGCATGTTCTTCCATGTCCCTACTGCCAATGTGCCAGTTGTGGATCTGACATGCCATCTGGAGAAAGCTGCCAAATATGAAGACATCAAGAAGGTGGTGAAGAAGGGATCAGAGGGCCCCCTCAAGAGCATCCTGGGCTACAATGAGGATCAGGTTGTCTGCAGTGAATTTAACAGTAATGCACACTCTTCCGCCTTTGACACTGGGGCTGGCATTGCCCTCAATGACCACTTTGTCAAGATCATTTCCTGGTATGACAATGAATATGGCTACAGCAAGAGGGTGGTGGACCTTGTGGTCCACCTGACCTCCAAGGAGAAAGAACTCCCAGAACCACCAGCCCTAGCAAGAGCACAAGAGGAAGACAGACCCTCAGCTGCTGGGGAGTCTCTGCCCCAACTCAGTCCTGCAACATACTGAGAATACCTGACCTCCAAGGAGAAAGAACTCCCAGAACCACCAGCCCTAGCAAGAGCACAAGAGGCAGACAGACCCTCAGCTGCTGGGGAGTCTCTGCCCCAACTCAGTCCTGCAACATACTGAGAATGTCCCTTCCTTGGCACAGTTTCCATCCCAGATGCCCTGAAGAAGGGGAGGGGCTTAGGGAGCCCTACCTTGTCATATATCATCAATAAAGTCCCTTGTAAGCAAAATAAATAAATAAATAAATAATTTCTCATTTTTGGCCTCAAATAGTCTTGGATGATACATTTGTTGTGTGTAGAAGTCTGTTGGCAGTTATTTTTTCAACAGTTTCAGTACGTTCCATTGTGTCCCTATTGCAAAACTTTATATTGGATGTGAATGGGAATGATTTATTGTGTGTGTGTGTGTACATACACATAATATATTTTTGTTGCTTCCTTAGCTTTGAGAAACAATATCTGGACATGAGTTGCAGAAGACATCACCCAGAGATCCTAACATTGTAATGCAGTCAGTTAGGATTTTGGTTGTCACATTATCAAGGGCATAAGAGTGTAGAACACAGATGATGGATAATAAAATGGGTATTTGGTAGTCAAATTGATGGATTGTCCTAGAAATTGGCTAGGTGTTCACCAATACTATTTTCTACTTCTGGACATCCAGGAAGACAGCACATCTCACCTTTCCTTACACTTAATTTGAGATCACGCAAATGAATTTTGGCCAATGGAATATGGGCATGAATGACTGTGAAAATATTTCTTCATTTTTTATTCTCATTAGTGTTTCTTCCTGGGGTCATCTCCTTGGACCTCAGTGGTTCTAGTTTTCACCCTCCCTGGGACTTAGTGCTCTCTTGGGAACTGCAGGTTGAGGTGATGAGAACATAGTGTCTTGATGAGGAAGAGGAATAGACCTGGTGACCCTGAGCTGGGATATCAGGCTGGAGCGTCTTATGATCACACTTTTCTACCTGGGTCTGCCTGCCCTGAGAGCCAGAGAGGAAGGCAGTAGGAGTTTGGGTCCTTGTTCCCGTGAATTAGACATAAATTATTACTATGTCATCTCACGAAATACATTACAATATGAGACCATGTTAACTCCACTGTCCACTTAAGCCTATGAGCAATTAGTCTTGATAATTCTACGTTTTGAATCGTATGGTCTGTAATAATGTTTCTTTTGGACAATAGAGCTTCCTGTAGTTTATGAAACCCTCTGCATGATTTGTTTTAAAAAATTAAATGAGCCTAAAGGTACACAGGTGTGCTTTTATGCAAAAATTTTAACAATTACCTACGATGCTATTTGCTGAGTCAGGGAGTGATTGTATTCAAAAATATCACCAGGGACCGCAGAAAGTGGTCTCTGATTTGTCCTCCTATAGCACTATATGTGAGAACCTTGTGGTGAGGATGACTAATAATAATGATAGCCTATATGTATTTACCACTACGTGCCAGGCCCTATGCTAAGCACTTTTCACGTCACTTCCCATGAGATAGATTTTGATATTTTCCTATTTTAGCCATTGGACTTTATTTTTTTCTCATGACTTTTCAAGAGAGTTCCAGTTCTCAAACTTGAGCTAGGGTCCCGCCCTCAGGGTTTCTATGTCAGAAGGTGTAGGTTGGTTATGAGAACTTACATTTTTAATAAGTTCGTAGTGATACTGCCAAACCAGGGATGCAAGATTCGGAATCAGTGAATCAGAGGAACATTTAATGTTTCTACACAAAGACCCCACGAGCGAGGTATATTGATTGTTCAATTTAAATAGTCCGCAAAGCTAAGAGAGGTGAAGCGGCTCTGCAGGGCCTCAGAAGCAGGACGATTAAAGACTGGCCCACCTGCCGGAGACTACTGAAGCGTTGCATTGTCCCAGGTGACCACGAAAATCTGGATGCGTCCCTTTAAGAGGAGCTTTCGCACTCAAATTATTATTTTCCCCATTTCCTCCTCCTCCTGGACTTTCAGCAGTGCCTCTTTGGGGTTGTCCGGGAGAACCGGCAAGGTGCCCATTGCCTGGTAGCATGAAGGGCACAAACTACAATACCCAGAAGTCTGTGCACGGCACACTGGGCTTTGGACCAATGACAGGACAGGAGATGGGCGTTTCCGGCTGCCATATAGGCAGGGGCGGGACTTCTTGGCGTCGCCGCGTGACGTATTTTGCCTGTTCCCGATGTGTCCACACTGGTTGTGAAGGCTTGGAGTCCTCAGCCATCTCTACTACCCACCCGGCTCTTCGGAACCGAGCAAGGAAAGACAGTAGAGAGGAAAGGGCCTTCCTCCGCGTCTTTGTTACGATCCGTGACCCCCGTCGTGGGACAGGCGGCCTCGCGCGGAGGTGTCCGCCGGGGCTGCGCTCGTAAGGAGGCCTTCGCGCTCGCCCTTCGACCTTGTCGCCCCGGAGGTGGCAGCCTGAGTCTTGCGCGCGTTTTTACACGGGAGAGACTGGGCTCCGAGTGCGACAGTCAGGCCGAGGTCATCCCACCCAGTGGAGGTGTGGGATTTCGGCTGAGCCCACACGCCCGCCCTGTTCTACCGGTTCTGACGACCCAGTTCTTCCCGCGGGATCCCATGGCGGCGGCGGCGGCGGCAATGATGGACCGGGCTAAGGTGAATGGAGGGGCCCTCAGCCCTCACCGACCCAGATATAGGGGTTAGTGTGTCCTGAAATGCTTCGCTTTCATTGCTCTCTCCTTGAGTATAAAGACTATGGAAGGCAGTCACTCGCATATATGTGGAGAGAGGTTCCCATTCCCCCTATCAACGGGCTGAGGTGTGGAAGAGTTTCCAAGCACAGGAACCAGCTTATACAAAAGCTTGGAGATGGGAATGAGTTAGGAGAGTTCCGAGGATCACAAATCTCTTATGTCTGGTGAGAAGAGAGAAAGAGGTCAGGCCTGGTATGGTAGCCTGAGGAGCTGGGTCTCTCTTCTGAGGGTGGTGGGAGTCATGGAAGGTTTGGTCAGAGCAGGGAGGTGCTGTGACTCAGTTCTTAAGAGGCTCCCTCTCGCTGCAGAGTGGAGAGATTCGGGGATATGGGTGTGGGCAGGGAGATTAGGATGAAGTCTACTGCTGTAATCCAGGTGAATGTTGATGGTGGGTGGGCCAGAGTAGTGGCAGTGGAGGTTTGAGAAATGTGTAGGTTTTGTATATGTTTTTAAAGTAGTGCTGACCGCTGACTAGATTTTCTGATGAGACAGTGATGTCTTGGGAATTCTTGCCTATCTCTTTTCTGCACTTGAGTCTGGGGGACTTGAAAGGGGATCATTTCTAGCTCAGCATCATGAATCTGGGCCAAGAATTATATGGAGAAATTCTCACTTCTGGCAGCGAATGGGAGAGGACTGCAGGGTATTTTAGGCCCAGAAACAGGCATGTGCAAGCGCTTGTAGGTAATACTGAGTTCGGAGTGCTCAAGGAACTACAGGTCTTAATTATGTCTGTGGGGAACAGAGAGCAGAGGCAGGAGTCGGGCAGGAATGGTAGGCTGAGGAGCTGGGCCTCTATTCTGAGTGTGGTGAAAGCCATGGAAGATTTGGAGCAGAGGATGGAGATGATCTGACTCAGATCTTAACAGGGTCCCTCTGGCTTTCAGATTGAGAACAGACTGAAGGTGTGAGCAAGGAGCCTAGAACTGCAATAGTGTTGATGGTATCTAGCCCAAGGTGTGGCTGTGGAGGTGAGAGAAGTTGGTGAATTTTGTGTCTGTCTTTTAAAGTAGGGTGATTGGAGTTTTTGACGTGAAGGGTGAATGAGAGAAGGAAAGGAGTCATGGATGGTACCAAGGACACCAAGGGTTTTTGTTTTGTTTTGGTTTTGTTTTAACTGATGGAATCATGGAAGTGCCATAAACTGAAATGAAGAAGTTGGTGGCAGGAGTAATTTTTAATGGTTCTATCAGGAGTTAGGCTTTGGTCATGTTTAATTTAAGAAGTCCCATAACAGCAACGTTGAGAGTTCAGATCCCCATACTGGCCAGCTACGTGTTCCCCTATTCCCCCTGCCCACACACACCCAAAAGTCCCAGTGACACTTTAGTTGACACATCAAGTTGGACACACGGGTTTTTAGTTCTGGGGAGGTGTTCTGTTGAAGAAGTTCAAATGTTGGCAGCCACTGTGCGGAGGCCCCCTATTCCCCCTGCCCACACACACCCAAAAGTCCCAGTGACACTTTAGTTGACACATCAAGTTGGACACACGGGTTTTAGTTCTGGGGAGGTGTTCTGTTGAAGAAGTTCAAATGTTGGCAGCCACTGTGCGGAGGAGAGTGGAGTATCTTCAAGTCATGGTGGTGATTCCATTAGAGAACAAGAAAGGTGAATCTGGGGACTGAGAACTGGGTCTGTTGCTTAGGCACCTGGGTGGCAGAGATGAGTGTTATAAAGACAGATGAGCACTTCTGAACACTGTGTGCAGAGTGGCATGGGAGGATGCCATGGAGGTGCATATGGTGAGGGCCAGGAGTTTGTTAGTGGTAGTGGGTTCCCAGAGGTGAGGAAGGTGTGTGGTCCAAAGAATGATGTGCATGTTAAGAGGAATGTGAACTGATGTCCTTAAGGTTCTACTATTGGTGGCTTATGAGAGAACACTGAACAGAAGTTTGTTGGTACCTGGACAACACCAGGAGAATTGGTTGGCAGGAGAATGGGGTGGGACTCTTCATGCCAGCCAGAGTTTAGTCAGCATCTGTCTGCACACTTGCTGGTTATGCTCTGGACTGGAAATAATGATCAGAGGGACCTGAGGAGAGAGGCACTAGTTGTGCCAAGGCCTGGTATCTCCTCTGAGTTGGGAGGCTGAGGAGGAGAGAGAATGGGGTGGGTGTGTGAATGAATAGACTGAGGGGGCTCTGAGGAGAGAAGCTGCCTGTGGGCTTAACTATCCTCATCATGGCAGGGTTGTGTGACCTTTGAGGATGTGTTCGTGTACTTCTCCCGGGAGGAGTGGGAACTCCTTGAGGAAGCTCAGAGATTCCTGTACCGTGATGTGATGCTGGAAAACTTTGCACTTGTGGCCACACTGGGTAAGTCCCCATTTTAGTTATCTATTGCTGCATGGCAAATTACCCCAAAATTTAATGGCTTGAAACAATAAAAAATTTATTATCTTTTAATTTTATTGCTTTAGGAGTCTGGTCACAGCTTATGTGGGTGCTTTTGGCTCAGAATCTCTCATCAGGTTTCAGTCAAGCTGTCAGCCAGAGCTGTGGTCTCATCTGAAAGCCCATCTTAGGAGGAATCCACTTACAAGCTCACTCGTGTTGTTCACAAGATTTAGTTTCTTGTGGCTTGTTGGACTTTGTGCATAAGTTTCTCATTGGGTGTTGGGCAGAGGCCTCTCTCAGTTCCTTGTCATGTCAGCCTTTCTGTAGTGTACCTCATAACATGGAAGCTGACTTCTCTTCTCTGACTTCACTTGACATGGAAGCAAGTGAGCAAGACAGAGTGCCTAGGATGGAAGCTTAGGATTGTAACCAAATCTAGAAAGTGACATTCCATCATTTTTGCCGTATTCTGTCCCTTAGAAATGAGCTGGTCAGTCTAGGTTACTATCAAGGGAAGAGGTTTACGCAAGGGTAAGAGTACCAGGAAGTAGAATACTCTTGGGGGGCCATCTTAGAGGCTGCCTTCCACAGGCCTTCACACCCACTCCAGTGTTCGTATAACTTCGTATAAGGTGTCCTTGGTGGGGTTCGGTTATTCCCCTGTTCCCTACGGGCAGCCCTTTCTGTCCAGCCACATCAGTGACTCTTTTCCTTTCCTTCCTAGGCTCCTAGAGTGGGTGCTATGGTTGCTAGTGTCCTTGGTGGGGTTCGGTTATTCCCCTGTTCCCTACGGGCAGCCCTTTCTGTCTAGCCACATCAGTGACTCTTTTCCTTTCCTTCCTAGGCTCCTAGAGTGGGTGCTATGGTTGCTAGGGCTGGGCTGTGTGCAGTTTTCCCTCCTTTGCTAAGTAGTACCAACATTTGCTGCCCCAAAGCCTTGCAGGAAAGGATTCAGTTTTTCAGTCCGTTCAGTGGATTCTACACAAGCTGGGCATTCACTGCTTGATGACTGTCTTGATCTGTGGCACCTCTGTTTCCCAGGTTCTGCCCCTGTTCTGTAGCTGACATTTCCTGGGGCCTGACTGTGCCAGGAACTTCAGGTACTGGCATGGTCACTGTTTGTGGAAGTCACAGGGTAGTTCTGCCAAATTCTCCATGGAGGATCTTTTTTTAACGTTTTATTTTCTGCTCTGTTGGGTGGATATACCTGCGCTACTCACCCGCCCTTTGTTTTCTTTACAATTTCCATCTTTTGGATCACTTGTAGCTGCCCAGTTAGAGGGGGGGCAGAAAGCCCTGTGTGTCTGACAGGGCAGACATTACTCCAGCCACAATAAGAGAGGGCTAGAGAGGGCCTGGTCTTGTTGAATGGGAGCTGGGGGAGGGTGACATGTTAGGGGTGGGTTCAAATTGAACTTTCAGTCTGTTTTGTGTTCACCATTGTTTTGTCGCCGAGGCCCATAACCATACCTCATCTCTACTTTTCATTCCCCATTCTTGGCCCATTGCCCAGTTGTCATTTCTCTCCTATCTTTTTCCCTTTGTTATTTCCCCACTTATCTGGCCTCCGTGTCTCACTCAATCTCCTCTGCTCCCTCTGCAATGCTGTACAACATAGGTCTACTTTAATGTGTCGTGAGCTGTGCACACTAAATACTCCTTGAGTACCAGCTACTTATGTGGAGTCAGATTTTCCTGGGTCTGGACACACCCTTCTACATAGAGCTCACATTACATCAGCAGCCAAAGCTTTGCTGAAACCCTTTTGCAGAAGAGTGAGTTAGAGACCTCACCTCTGCTCCCAGTCCCATACACCATTGTTAGGTCTTTACCCATGGGTTAGGGTTCCTCCATTTTGTGACCTTTAGAGGCCCAAATGGCCCTTCCTTGCACTGATCCGGCTCTGTCATCCCGCCAACAAGCCAACGGAGTCACACATTTGTATTGGGGCTGCTGTTTCCCACCAAAGTCAACATATACTTCACTGACATTTCTTTGCTTTCAGGTTGTCAGTGTGAAGCAGACAATGAGGAGGCACCTTCTGAGCAGAGCTTTTCTGTAGAAGGACTGTCACATGTCAGGACTTCTGAGTCAGTTCCATTCATTCAGAAAACCCACCCATGTGAGATGTGTGACCCATTCTTAAAAGACATTTTGCCCCTGACTGAACATCAGGGATCATACCCTGTGCAGAAACTGTATGCATGTGGGCCATATGGGAAAGGATTTTCATTCAGTGCAAAATTTTACCAGCACCAGAAGCAACATAGTGGAGTGAATTCCTTCAGGTGGGATGATGGAGGGGCCTCATTTGTGAAGAGCTGTACAGTACACATGTTAGGGAGACCCTTTACATGCAGGGAGGAAGAGATAGACTTGCTGGAGAGCTCCAGAAGAGTCAAGCACCAGACCACTCACAATGGTCACAGAAGGACTGAGGGCATAGAGTCTTTCCCGCGCAGCTCCAATCTCGGGCGACATCAGGGAGTCCATGATGAGCAGATGCTTTTCAACTGCAGTGATGATGTGAAAGCCTTCCTGAACACCTATACTCTTCTTGACAACCATATAACTCATACTGAGGTAAGACCCTTTAGATGCATACCATGTGGAAATGTGTTTAAGGAGAAATCAGCTCTTATTAATCACAGAAAAATTCACAGTGGAGAAACATCTCATGTGTGTAAGGAGTGTGGAAAGGCCTTCATTCACCTGTCCCACCTAAAGATGCACCAGAAATTTCACACTGGAAACAGACGTTACACATGTAGTGAATGTGGGAAGGCCTTCAGCCGCAAAGACACACTTGTTCAACACCAGAGAGTCCACACTGGAGAAAGGTCTTATGACTGCAGTGAATGTGGAAAAGCCTACAGCAGAAGCTCCCACCTTGTTCAGCACCAGAGAATTCACACTGGAGAAAGGCCTTATAAGTGCAGCGAATGTGGGAAAGCCTTCAGCCGTAAAGACACACTCGTTCAGCACCAGAGATTTCATACTGGAGAGAGGCCTTATGAGTGCAGTGAATGTGGGAAATTCTTTAGCCAAAGCTCCCACCTTATTGAGCACTGGAGAATTCACACTGGGGCAAGGCCTTATGAATGCATTGAATGTGGGAAATTTTTTAGCCATAACTCCAGCCTCATTAAACATCGGAGAGTCCACACAGGAGCTAGGTCTTTTGTGTGCAGCAAATGTGGGAAAGCCTTCAGCTGCAAAGACACGCTTGTTCAGCACCAGATAATTCACACTGGAGCAAGGCCTTATGAGTGCAGTGAATGTGGGAAGGCCTTTAGCCGTAAAGACACACTTGTGCAGCATCAGAAAATCCACACTGGAGAAAGACCTTACGAGTGTGGTGAATGTGGAAAATTCTTTAGCCATAGCTCCAATCTTATTGTACACCAGAGAATTCACACTGGGGCAAAGCCTTATGAATGCAATGAATGTGGGAAATGCTTTAGTCACAACTCTAGCCTCATTCTACACCAGAGAGTTCACACCGGAGCAAGGCCTTATGTGTGCAGTGAATGTGGGAAAGCCTACATTAGTAGCTCCCACCTTGTTCAACACAAGAAAGTTCACACTGGAGCAAGACCTTATAAATGCAGTGAATGTGGGAAATTCTTTAGCCGCAACTCTAGCCTCATTTTACACCGGAGGGTACACACCGGAGAAAAGCCTTATGTGTGCAGTGAATGTGGAAAAGCCTACAGCAGAAGCTCCCATCTTGTTCGGCACCAGAAAGTTCACACTGGAGAAAGGCCTCATGAATGCAACAGTTTTGGTGACCCTTTAGCTGCATCTCTTAAACTTGTTTAGCTGCAGAAAATTCACACTAGAGAAAGGTCTTATGAATGCAAAAACTGTGCTCTTTGTTCAACCTAATAGAACTCACACCAGAGAAAAAGCTCTGTGAGTATCCCTTGTGAGAGAACCATCCTCCAGCAAGTGAACATTGTAGATTCATATATCCACCCTGGGGGACTTTCCAATAAGCACCACATACATGGGACGATTTCATGAGGTGTGTTGCACTTTCTGAGCTGTCCAGGGCTCTTGACAGAGTTATGTTACTGCCAGTGCCTGTGGCAGAAGCCATCTTATTCTTACCAGTTGTGTGTGTTAATTGCTCCATTATGCTCAGGAAAGGCAGACCTCTGTGCTCTCCTGTTCCCTACAGGTAATCATGTTGAGGGTCCTCATTTCTTCTCTTATGATTAGGTTCTGAGTGGACGTGATCTAGCTCTGGCCAAAAGGTTCTGAGCTAGGGTCTGCTGGTGATTTCTCGACAAGGTTTTCCTTCTTCGTAGACAGTGCTGACTGTAAACACAATTGCCATGGTTTATTTGTCCTACTGCCAAATCACCCAACTTTGGAACTGCCTGTCCCATGCTGCTCTGGTTTATACAGTGGTAAAGGCCTATTGTGGTACCCTTTACTCTTTGGGGTGCTGTTTACTGTTTAGAGTGGATTGAGAAAAGAATTGGGTTTGGACAACATAAAGGTGGACACCACCTTTATTTGCCTCAGAGAGGATCACAGTATGGCAGGGAACAGTTTTCAGTCTAGTTTGGTCTAATTTGCACAGTTGGCCTACGTCTGCTTGGAAAGACTGAAGAGCTTTGTGTACCTAATTCTGTGTCCTGTATAATAGGATTTCCTGTGAACCTGGTGTTCATTCTGAGGAGGGTGTAATTGGTGTGAAAACCTTCAGTACTTCTGGAAGCAACATGAGTTGGGTCCCTTGAATGTCACATATTCCCCAGCACTGTTGAGGTATTACTGTTTCTTGAACCTGTACGGGACACAGTCTCTGGTATTCAGAATCCCATAGGCAAGTGCCATTGACTGTAAGACCTACAGGGCAAGGTAGAAATCATAATTGGTACAGAAACAGTGAGATAATGGAGTGGGGATGACAATGGTAAACAAGAGGAGATTTGTACATTCTAAGGAGGCATACTCAAATGTCCATACAATTATGACAATGTGGAGTGAGGATATACAGAAATTCTAAGGACCTCTAAACATATGTATCTTCTATGGCCAAGGCCACTGTCAGAGTAAATAAAGGTCTGTGGATTCCTATACCTCATTGGGCTGTTGAACTTATGGTCATTACTGCACAGGCAGGAACCCCAGTATTGACATAAGAGAGATACAGGGATGGTGCTTCTCTGACCCAGTCGGCATGCCTCGTGACTGAGGTGGACATGGACTTCATTGCTCTCCAGTTTTTGCTGACATTGAGGCAGTTTTTGCTAAGTTGTGGGGAGAGGGATATGGTAGAGCCAAAATAGTTGGCAGGTCTGACTTTCCAAGAGGAATGGTAGATATGAATTTTTAAGGGAAACATTCAATTCTTAACAGCTTTATTGAGGTATGATTAACACGCAATAAACTGCAAATATGTAAAGTATAAAATTTGCTATATTTCAGCATGTGTATACACCTGTGAAACCACCACAACTGAGATAATGAGCATATATTCAAAAGATTCCTTCCATCCCTTTATAATCCTTACTTCCCAGTCCTTCTTAACCCTGTTTCCCACAATTCATAAGCAACAGCAAGAATTTTCTAGAGTTTTATAAATGAAATCATATGGTATGTATTTTTGAGGGGGTTGGGGGCTTTGACTTTTTTCAGTAACTGTTACTATTTTGAGATTAATCCATCCTGTTGCATGAATTAATAGCTTGTTTATTTGTATTGCTGAGTAGTAGTCTGTTGTCTGCCCCCCCCCCTTTTTTTTTTGAAAGATGACCTGCAAGGGGATCTTAACTCTTGACTTGGTGTTGTCAGCACCACGCTCTCCCGAGTGAGCCATGGGCAGGCCTTCACTTTTTTTTTTTAATCTGTTTAGTAGTTAATGTATGTTTATGTTGTTTCCAGTTTTTGGTTACTACAAATAAAGCTGCTGTGAAGATTTGTGTGCAAGTTATGGCTGAATAACATTCCGTTGTATGGATGTACCATAGTTTGTTTACCCATTCACCTATTGAAGGACATATTAGTTGCTTCAAGTTTTGGCAATTATGAATAAACCTTCAATTAATATTTGTGTGTAGTTTTTTCTGTGGACATAGTATTCAATTCATTTGGGTACATGCCAAGGAATGTGATTTGCTGGATCATATATTAAGATTGTAAGACTAAAATGCCAAGCTGTCTTCCAAAGTTGCTGCACCATTTTGCATTCCAACCAGCAGTGAACACATCCTCAGAATGAATCAGTGACGGCTTAGCAGAGTGGCAGTTTCTGTGTCCTGGGGGGGAAGGACTTCCGGTGGCATCATGATGTTGGTCATTTAGCTGCTCTCTAGTACCTTCACTGACTGAAGGCCTCTGGAACCCTGCTAGGGAACTGAAGAGATGGAGTAGAAAAGTGGGAGAAGAGATGTTGTCCCCGCTTCCCAGAGGCAAGCGTGAGGCTTGACTGAGCCAGGCTGGGGACACTGGTGCCTTTGTCCCTGTCCAGGTCACCTGCCATTCCAAGCCCTGCTCTTCCCTGGCTTGTTTGGCAGAGACCACACAGATGAACTTGACTAAGGTGGGGACTGGATCCCCAGGCCGTCTCCAGGCCAACCTCCACCTCCTAGTGAGAAATCCCGGATGGAGATACACCTGATTGAGATAGGATAGGAGGTGCTCAGTTTCCCTGGGGCTGGATTTCAGGCCTGGGTCTCAAACCACTTCCCAAGGACTCAAGCTCCTCCTCTGAGTTCTCAGTTACTGTTTCTTTTTGCACCTATTTTCCACACCAACACATGGAGATTGAGACTGCAGGAAGCAGATTTATGTAATTCTGGCAGCTGAGCATGCTCAGTAGAAAGGAGTTTATGCTATGAATGACCTTCCACTGGAGGCAGTAGATATCATCTAGCATATTCTAAATATATTTGTTTGTTGGAATTTGACTAATGAATATGCTCCAAAGAGACCAACTGAGCATGTGCAAGACTATGTTACATAATCTGTTACATAACTGGGAACCACCACCTCAGTTGAATATTCATTGGATAGCATGACTGTATATAGAATAGCCAACTATAGAGGTAGAATACTTTTATAAAGGAAGAAGGCAGGGCCGCTGCTCACTGTAGAGCCAGCCCACACTTTGCCTGTAAGGTGTATCTTTATTTTTGTGTTAAGCCTGCCTTTCCCAGTAGAGGATGGGGTGGGTTGAGGTTGGTTGACCTCTGCAAACCCTGTCTTCTGGTAACATGATCATTGCATTTCAGGACTCTATGTCCAGAAGAGAGGGACATTCTTATGTGGGAGACCCCATTTTAGCCAATGTGATGAGGGAGAGAGGTCTTGTTGGAGACCAGCATGTGTAAATGTAAACGTAAACTTACTGAGCACTAGAACACTGGTTAAAGGCATCTGTTCTCTTCCACTGCTCCATTTGCATGACCCTCCAATATATGAAATATAGTTTTGGTGTTGTGAGGTCTCCAAATATCCCTGAATAGTCCTGGAACATCAGCTACTCCATCATAATCAGATATTACACACTGTTCAACATTCACAGCCATGGTTTGTTGAAAGCCATTTGCAGATGGGTGAGCTGAAGACCCTCTTGCTTCTCCCTCACTGTGCTCCTCCCTTGTGTCTTTACCCATTGTCAGGGCTCTCCCATTATGGGTGCTTGCCAGGCCCAGCTCTGCAGAGCAGGCCTTGCTCTCACTGGCTTTAGCAATCCCATGGACTTATTCATGAGTGTGCCTGACATACATTTTTGATGGGACTCTCTTTTCCCACTAAAGTCAGCATGCACTTCACCAGTATTTCTCTGTTGACAGGTTGTTGGCATGGAGCTGATGATAGGAAGGCATGTTCTGAGCGAGGTGTTTCTGTAGCAGGGTCACAGGTCAGGACTCCCAAGCCAGGTCAGTCCATCCAGAAGACCCAGCCCTGTGAAACATGTAGTTCATTCGCATGCACTTCACCAGTATTTCTCTGTTGACAGGTTGTTGGCATGGAGCTGATGATAGGAAGGCATGTTCTGAGCGAGGTGTTTCTGTAGCAGGGACTCCCAAGCCAGGTCAGTCCATCCAGAAGACCCAGCCCTGTGAAACATGTAGTTCATTCTTGTAAGACATTTTGTCCCTGGCTAAGCACGATGGAAGACACCCTGAGCAAGCTTATGAGCGTAGCAAATATGGATAATTACTTAAGTGCAGCATGTCACTTATTAAATCTCATGGAGTTCACACTGGAGAAAGGCCATATGAGTGCAGTAAATGCATGTGTCTTTTGCCAAATCTCTCGCCTTGTCTGGCACCAAAAATTTCACACCAGAGAAGAATTATACCAGAGTGCAACCATTGGGAAAAGCCCTAAACCAAAAGTCAGCCTTGGTAAGCACTGCTAACTACTGTTATATACTTTTTTTTTCTTTTTAATTTTAGTAAAATATGTGTAGCATGAAATTTGCCATCTTAAATATTTTTGAGTGTACTGGTCAGTACTTTCAGGTAAATTCACATTGTTGAATGAATGTCCAGAGCTCTTTTCATATTGCAAAAGTGAAACTCTATAACCATTAAACAACTCTCATTACCCCTCCTTCCTGCACCTGGCAACCAACAGTCTACTTTCTGTCTGTATGAATTTGAATACTCTAGGTACCTCATATAATGAGAATCATGCAATTATCTTTTTGTGAGTGGCTTACTTCACTTACTATGATTATCTCAAGTTTCATTCATGTTGTAGGATGTATCAAGATTTCCTTGTTAAGTCTCAATATTCCATTGTGTGTATGTGTGTGTATATATCACACCACATTTTCTTTATCTATACATCTGTTGGACATTTGTTTTGTTTCTACCTTGTTTTCTGATTAAATTATGTCAATGGAGGCAGAAAAAATGCTTCTACCTTTTGACTATTATGAATA